AACTGTTTCTTGCGATAGGATCTGAGATGTAGGCCTTGGGGGGAGGGGGCAAACTGAATTGCTCAACTATTTCAACAAATTAAAAATTTATCACAGAGAAGCAATAGAAAAATAAGAATATTAAAACAATCACAGAACAACTACAAACACAAGAGATTTTATAATGGTTTGGAATACTACATCAACTCTTCCTTCTCTCGAAGAAGCTTCCACACTAAATGATGTTGTTCACATGGATTAACAAACCCTAATCTAACGGGCTTTACAAGACTGAACCCTATATAACCCTAATCTAGTCATCTAACCAAACAACCTATCAAAGTGTGTAACCTACCACTTGCTGGTAACCCTAACCCTCAATTATCACCGGCATGAGTACGCCATACGAGACCAATTATATGATCGTATAGAAAGTTTAAATCAACAAAAAAAATATCATTCATGCACAACTAAAAAGATCTTAGAGCCTATTTTGTAACGAGATCATTCTCCTTGATGGTCTAAGTGGAGATGCATAAGATAGACGCTAAAGATGACCAAAACAACATTGCTCAATGTTGATTGATTAGATGATGTAGCTTGCGATGAGGAAGTGATTATGAAGCTCGGGGAAATGGAAAAAAAAAGAAGAATCTTTCAATCAAAGTTCTGAAAACCCCCTCCCTCCCACCCTCCCCCTTTTTTCCTATCTTGATTATGTCAGTGTTGTGTGTGAAATAAAATGTGTTGTAAGTGCTTAATTTGCTCTCCCCCCCACCCCCACCCCCCAAAGGTTAGTGTTGTGTGTGAAATAAAATGTGTTGTAAGTGCACAACCAAGTTATAGTGTAGAAAATGTTGAACTACATGGAGGATATTAATTTTTGAAAGTTTTGAATTGAAAATTTTCTTTTTGAAAGTTTTGAATTGAAAATTTTCTTTTTGAAAGTTTTGAATTGAAAATTTTCTTTTTGAAAATTATTTGAAAAGATGTTTTATTATGAAAAGGTATTGAAGAAGTGGTTTTGGATTTTTGATAAGAAAAAAGAAAATAGAACTAGAAAGAGGGACATAAGAGAGAATATAAATACAATTGAGAAAAAAATAAAACCATGTGTTGGGAAAATTTTCTGTGATGTTTGCTGGATCACAAACTTGTGGCTCACGTGAAAATGGAAACGTACTAGTGCTTCTTTTAAACATGGAACTTCACTTTGATGTTTCCAAGTGTTCATGCCTGCGTATGAGCGTCTATATATAGTTCCAACTTCTTGCTCAGTTCCTTCCAAGCTATATTTTCTTCCTTTAATTTCAACACCCCCACCCCCCCTCCTCCAAAAAAAAAATTATATAACTTAAGCTTCTCTTGTAATGGAAAAAGATGACGTTAACAACGTTCGAAGGTCCATCGACAATAACAATTCTATTAATGTCAGTCGTCGGTCAGCACACTATCAACCTAATCAATGGGACTACAATACCATCCAAACCATAACAAACAATTTTATGGTATGCACGGGCTAAGCATATCATTTTTTTTCTTATTGTTTTCTAGTTGATTCTCATTTTCTTCCATGTGTATTTCTTTCATTATAAATGTTAGCATCTTTACTGTCATAAATTCGAGCTCATATATTTTCTTAAAAATAGTTTTGCTTACCAAAATCACTTACCTTTTTATGTAGGAGGAGGCATATGGCCTTTCGGCTAAGGAGTTGAAGGAAGAGGTTAGGGCTTTGTTGACAGAAACTGACCCAGTAGTTCAAGTCAAGCTCATTGATTCCATCGAAAGGCTCGGATTGGGCTATCATTTTGTGGAGGAGATTGAACGACTCTTGAATAATATGCTTATAAGTGGTTATCACAAAGTGGTGCAAAAAGATGGCTTGCATGTTACTGCTGTCCTTTTTAGGCTTTTCAGACAATGTGGCTTCATGATTTCGCAAGGTACAATAAGCCTATGCATAAAATACACAAAACTAAGATATTTTGTAGATAACCACCATTAATATGAAGTAGAAACACAAAAAGACATTTTGAAAGATAATTTTAAAAAAAAAGACAGAACAAAAAGATTCAGGAATATAGATGCCAGCAAGAGGAGAACGAATGATAACGGACGAGATATTTTATTTTATTTTATTTTATTTTGGTCAATGAAAAAATTTTATTCATAACCAAAATGTGAAATTTGAGTACATCAAATCATTCCAGTTATAACTGGAAGAACATCTATATTGTTTTTTTTTACAATTGCTCAATTCTTTCTTTTATGTGAAAATGAACATCATCATTGAGGATTTTAGAAAGAATTAGAAGCTTCACTATCCGAAACACAACATTAGGCTCCCTTGTTTCTAGCTAAAAAATTCTTTGATTCCTTTCTTTCCATATAGTGTAAACTGTGACTGACAATGCCAATCTTTTAAGCTTCTTCATGAACCCCTTACCTCTCAGTCTCATACTATACCATTGGATAACACACTCCCAGCTACAAGATTTCCATCTGAATTTCATCCAGTCCATAACTCTGTTCCAGATAGCGGCTGAAAATTTACATTCAAAGAAAAGATGTCTACAGGTTTCTGGATTTTGATAAGTGCACAACACACAAATGTTTGTGTCAAGGATTCTCAGGTGACACAGTCTGTCTTTTGTTAATAATTTGGATTGAATAGCAAGCCAAAGGATGAAAGAGTGCTTAGGATATAGCCACCCATCCCAGATTGTTCTAGACCAAACAACAGGTGCATTTTGAAGTATGATTTCATTATAGATAGAAGATATCTGAATTTTACCTCCCAAGCAGCACCTGGTGATAATATTTTGCACATTTGAGGCATTGCCAAACTTGAATATCATTTTATCTCTCACTTTAAGAACTTGATTCCACATCCATGAATCGTTCATTTTAATTTGCACTCGCCAGATATTTGACTGCCTCAGATAATGTCCATGAATCCACTTGATCCACAACAAGTCCTTCTTGAGATGTATCATCCAAAGGAGCTTCATGGCTTATGCAAGATTCCAGGCTCTAGCAGAGAAGATCCCCAAACCCTCATGCTCTTTGCTTTGACACACTGCTTGCTAGGATTTGTTTCTAATCCAGAGACACAGCTGAAATCTGAAAGGCATTCCTTTAATCTTGTAATAGAGTATAGATCAGCTTTGCAAAAAAAGCAATAAATCATCAGCAAAAAATAGATGAGAAATTTTCAGCCTTGAACATGAGATATTTTATTTTTAGGGTTAAAAATGTAAAAAAATAATACATGAATTTTTTAAATAATTTAAGAGGAAGTTTGGTCTCACATGAGTTGCACGTGCCACTTCAGATGTAACGGTGTTAAACTTTGGGCGCTTTCTACAAAAGTTATTGGGGGTCTAATACAATTTTGAAAGTTATTGGTGGTTCACTCAAAATGCTAAAAGTTCCGGGGCCTAATTATATAAGTAAACATGGTATATCTAGTATAACTCAGAAGAGCAAGAACGAAATATCACCAATAATTAAAATAGAAGAAGAAATATGAAATTAAAGAAAATACCACCTAATTCAATATGTCATCTGCGTACCTTGAGAAACTAGCTAGTAATCCTTATTCACTGAACAATTAGCTTTAACGTATTCTGGGTCAATGCAGAACAAAGAATTCAAGCATTACTTCACTGATTCAAGAATCTTTTTCTTTCCATTCATCAGAAATTACCCAGTAGACAGATCACTGAATTGTTTCCACCAAGACGACCTTGTGAATTCTCTTTATTTTTGGAGTGCAGATATTTTTGACCACTTTAAGGACGTCAACGGTAGCTTCAAGGCAAGCCTTTCACATGATGCAAAAGGATTGTTGAGTTTATATCAAGCTTCTTATCTGTCTTTTAAAGAGGAGATCACAATGGACGCAGCAAGAGCTTTTGCAGTCACTCATCTAAAGACGCTGGATGCATCCAAATTGAGATTTGCAAAGGAAATTGCAGATGTAATGGAGCTCCCATCACACTGGAGACCGACAAGGCTAGAAGCTAGAAGGTACATAGATACTTACGAGAAGGAAGAAGACACAAATTCTGCGTTGCTTTTGTTTGCTAAGCTAGATTTCAACATGGTTCAAAATGTACATCAAAGGGAACTTGCAAAGGTTACAAGGTACGCTTATGTTATTTTTAACTAGTTTAGTGATTATCAATATAATATTGTTCTCGATTTAATGACAATGAATTCCCACGTCAAGAATTAAAATTATGTAAGTGGAGCGTATATACGCTCCACTTATAGTTATGATAATAACATTTGAATGTCTTGGTTTTTTTTATTGTTACAATTTCCAAATTTTTGATGTTTTGTTTAAGATTAATTAGCTTGATTCGGAAACCTCTACGTGCTAGATCATATACTTATTTATCTATCAAAAACTAGCATGAGTGCATTTATTTGTTTCCTATGCTCCCGTTGAATATACTTAACAAAATATTTTTCTTTTATGCATCATCAGTTGGTGGATGGGTCTCTCTCTTGGAAAGACGTTGGAGTTTGCTAGAGATCGAACACTAGAGTGCTTCTTTGTAGTGATTATAATAGTATTTCAGCCTCACTTTGGATATTCCCGCGAGGGGCTTACAAAAGTTATAACTCTTATGGTACTTTTGGATGATGTTTATGATGTCTACGGATCCTTGGATGAGCTCGAACTCTTTACACGTGCTGTTGAAAGGTAATCGGTTTATTATTTCAAATATAATGTCTTGACTTTGTTTTCTCTCTCCCTATACATTATGCATATCTTAAGTATTTTCTTCTAAAAACTTCTACAGATGGGAAGTCGAGGAGTTGGAAAATCTTCCAGAATGTATGAAGATATGTTTCACAAATATTAGCAATCTTGTGGGTGAAATGACTGTCGATTTTCAAAAAAGTAATGGATTGACTATTCTACCTTATCTGAGAAAAGCGGTAATATGGTCAATTTAATTTATAGCTTCGGTGATTATGGAGATATGTTTCACAAATATGAAGATATGTTTCACAAATATTAGCAATCTTGTGGGTGAAATGACTGTCGATTTTCAAAAAAGTAATGGATTGACTATTCTACCTTATCTGAGAAAAGCGGTAATATGGTCAATTTAATTTATAGCTTCGGTGATTATGGAGATATGTTTCACAAATATGAAGATATGTTTCACAAATATTAGCAATCTTGTTTTTTTTTTTCCCGTGAAGGACGGACGCACCAATTCATGCGTACATAATTTGTTAAATTCATATTTTCTTAATAATATAATGAGAATACATAGTTGCTGATTGATATTGCAAAGTACAAAGTAGCTAGGGACATATATAACATTTTCCGCCATTTGCTTTTTAATATTTTATATGACTAATTATTCGAAACTTTACATTTCAGTGGACAGATATATGCAAAGCATTCTTGGTGGAGGCAAAATGGCAAAATGATAATTATGTGCCAACATTTGAAGAGTACATCAACAATGGTTGGATGTCAGTTTCCGGGCCTCTCATATTGTTACATACTTTCCCCCTCATGGGACAAGAAATAACAGTGAAAGCATTAGAACACTTGGAGAATTATCCTAAAATCATTCGTTTAGCATCAAAAATTTTCCGACTTTATAATGATTTAGCAACTTCAACGGTAAGCAATTTGATACCTTTAAGTGAGTAGAAGACTTTCATGTCTTTTAATTGTTATTTTTGAGTGAAACCTATCTAATTAATTACTTTTACCTAAAATGTAAAATTGTTTGATGAAACCATGCTCCCCAGTATTAAGTTAATAGATCTTCTATGTTCTACCTTTTTATTTCTACAATATCTTGACCGAGACCCTCTTTTCCCTCAAGAAATACTGTCAAATATTTTGATTATATGTGCGCCTTTTAATAATCTATTAATTAAACATGATTGGTGCCATGTGCCTTGAGAATTCTTGTTTTTGGTACATGATATTTAGATGAGTTAATTCTCTTTTCCTTTTTTTAGAAAAAAAAAATTCAGTACATAATTTTGACTTTCATGTGTCGATGGATACCTGATATTCTTTCTTTCCTATGGGTAACCCATACTATATGTATAAAAGTTCAAATACATTTTATATTCTTTCGCGTTTCTATATGGATACAGGCAGAGCTAGAGAGAGGCGATTCAGTATCATCTATACAATGTTACATGAGAGAAAGTGGTGATTCAGAAGTTGAAGCTCGCAAACATATATCGAGTCTCATTTTCGAGACATGGAAAGAGTTGAATGAAGAAGCTATACTATGTTCTTCCTTGCCTCGATTTTTTATAGAAGCGTGTGTAAATCTAGGACGAATGGCAATTTGCCTATATCAACATGGAGATGGTTTTGGCATTCCAACTCATGACACCAAGGCCCACATAACATCATTGCTCATGAAGCCCATTAGCTTACAGAGCAAGGAATTACAGACTCCCATCAATAATGTGGTTGCTAAATAGGACTGCATGCATGGTTACCCTTATAATAAATGTTGTATGGACATATTTGTAAGATGTTATTTTCATGCATGGTTACCCCTATAATAAATGTCGTATGGACATATTTATAAGATGTTATTTTCACGCATGGTCACCCTTATAATAAATGTTGTGTGGACATATTTGTAAGATATTATTTTCAGATATGAAAATAGCCAGGATGCGGGCATTGTGTAATCTGTTTTGAACATGTTTGGCAATCTGAGATTATAGTACATCCACTTAGGTTATAATTTGTTGGTAGATTATAGCTCAAGCGGATCAAGATTTTAGATGTTTGGTAAAAAGAGTGGTTTATAATCGTGTACGCATTTTTGTTAGATAAACCAAATACCATTCGGGAGGAAGGAGAGAGAAAGGGGAAAAAACAGAGTGTGAAAAAGTGTTTAGTATTTTTGTCATTTTGTTGATCAAACATGTGAGTCATAATCCCCTAAAGAAATAACCTTGTAATGATTCTTAAGTTATTTTCCAAAATTATCCACTCAATGTATTTACCAACATACAAAGTAGATTATAACCCAAAAAAATGGATTATAATCTATTTTGATCAAGTTGTCAAAACATGCCCTTATTACGATAATCTATCACATGATATTATTAGAGTAATCTATGATTCTTTAAATACTTTCCTTTCAAGTATTGGGAACAATTAAAAGAAAGAAAGAAATTTTGGAAAATAGCCTATTATAAATATAAGAAATAATTACGAGAAGATGTAACATTCATCGATGAATATGGCTATTTCAAGCCTATATTTTTTGAACCATACCAAAATAACAAGGGGCGTATATTAAAGCACGCACAAGGAAAATATGAAATAAGAATTATTGAAATCCCTTCAAATATTGTATCAAATCCATATATTTTTATGGAAACTTTAATATTATGAAAATTAACTAATTACAATCATATTCTTCAGTAGTCAAAATTCTACATGTATTTACGTAGGGTTAAATTATCAGATTGGTGTAGTTAATTGGACCATATTCAATTCATCTTGTGTGTGTGTATTGGATCATATTCAATTCATCTTGTGTATGTGTGTGTATAAATAATAAGAAACTATTCTTACAATACATCTTGTGAAAACTCAGCTGGATACATGATTCTACCAATCATGTCCAATGTTCACTCCCACAATATTTTTTTATCTACATTGGTGCTTACATGATCTAAAATAATAGGTAACTAATTGAGCTTAATCCACGAAGTGATTCCACGGGGGACTAGAAAATTATAGCTAATTAATTGAATGGAGGAGATGGACTCATGATAGCAAAGCACATGTGACAAGGGAGAAAATATCATCTCATGTTATCGGTGATCGATTGATCGTTCATAGGCTTAATTTTCCAATTAATTAATATTCTTCAAGAGTATGTAGCTACCATGAACACTGTGTTAGTGTTATCACGAGGTTTCTCCGTACAAAGTATTTGTGGCTCATATGGTGGCTAACTATTTTTCACGTTTTGTTTGCTTCTCTCTCTCTCTCTCTCTCTCTGCGTGTCTCTTCTAGAAATTAATGTTTGTTTTGTCCATTTCCTCCGGGAACTTGAAGACTAAACGCATTCCTTATTCTTTGACCAATCAAACATCCATTTTGATGTCAACTTTCATATGCATTGAAAAAAGCTGTGGCGGGATGTCTGAAGGCGTACGATAGTCTGGCGATCTGGTGACTATCTTGCGCCCCTGCCTGGAAATTCATGGCGAGGAAGAAGAAAGCTAGCGGAAGAAAGATTCTAAACATCGGTCTGAGATCCTCAAGCTCTAATCTCCTAGATTCTGATGATCATATTGATAGTTTCTTTGAGGAAGATGATGAAGGCAATTGTATAATGGGATCTACTGGTCCGAAAGGGGAAAGGAAGAAGAAAACTATGGAGGAAATTCTCAAGTCCTCAGATTTCCTTGTTAATCCTTCGGTCTCTCCTTGTGTGAATGGAATTCAATCTCGTCAACTCAATTCTTGTGGAGATAGTGACTCTCGTAGGATATCTTGGGCGGAGGAGGTTGATGTAGAGGTAATTTCTTCAGATTTTCCTACTCTTCAGAGCTCTTCTTCGAAATTTGCAAGTGTTCTTGAATTATCTTCAAAGATTCCTGAAAAATTTTCTGATATGAATACTGTTTCATTGAAGAAAATTGCTGAGGTTAATCATGTGCCAAATGAGGAAAATCCTTTAAGTCACCATCCAGTTTCTGATTTTAATAATGAGGATGTTAGTGATCAGACTAAAAGGACTGAAAATTCTAATGAGGTTAAAGTACCAAAATCTTTTGTTAGTCTCTTCTCTGACAATAGGAAATCAGGAAATGGAATGCCTCTAAAGTTCTTACCTTCATCACAACATAATACAGTTTTATTTTCCAATGATGAATGGAAGGAGGGAGAAGTTATTTGGAAAAATGCCTTAATTGGTCATATCATTGGCTTAAATGTAAAATTCAAAGCTATGGAAGCTTATGTTAATAAACTCTGGGGAAAAATTTCTATTCCTAAGGTTTCCTTAATCAAGCAAGGCTTGTTCCTGTTTGACTTTCAAACTGAGAATCAAATGAGAGAAATTCTTGAGGCTGGCCCTTGGTTCTTTGGCTCCAGACCTCTGATGCTGAAACCTTGGAGCATAGACACAGACATAGATAAAATGCACGAACAATCTTACCCTATCTGGGTGCAGTTTCCCAATCTGAGGTTAAACCTATGGAGTTCTACTGGAATTAGTAAAATTGCAAGCCTCATTGGAAAGCCTATTGCAACTGATATGCTTACTGCCACCAGACAGAGATTGAGTTATGCTAGAGTGCTTCTTGATATTAAATTACCTTTGGAAGATCCTCTACCTGATTTTCTAACAATCCAAGGTCCTGATGGAAAGAGCTTTAAGCAATCTGTGACATATGAATTTAAACCTAAATGGTGTTCCTCATGTTGCAAAATTGGCCATGATACTGAGCAGTGTAGAAACAGAAAGATGAAGAAAATGTGGGTTCCTATTGTTAATCAAGCTGGAAAAGCAACTGAAGATGTTTCAAGATATGCACAACAGAAGGAGAATCTTGAAAATGAAAGTAGTTTACCTGGAGCATCAAGCCTGGTAAATTTGGATATAGAAAAACATGCACAGGCTACTGGAAAACATGCACAGTCTCTGTCTGGTCAAGCTAGCCTTGAGATTGAAAGTTCATCAAGTCTGAAAGATATAGATATGGAAAAACATGCACAAGCTGTAAAACATGCACAGATTCAGTCTGGATTTCAACAGACTAACATCTCTTCTCCTACTGCAAGCAAATATGCTCATTTACAGCAAGCTAGCTTCTCTTTTCCAATTATTAATGCATCTGGATTTTCTAGTGTTAAGAAAGCTAATTCAGCCAAAAGAGACTTTATGCCTGGAGCAGCTCCTGCAGATATTCAACCCTCTCAGTTCTCTATACTAGAACAGCTGGCTCTTAACTCCTCTTGTGTAGATAGAGGAGGGAAATCATTATAACATGCATTTTGCTATCTGGAATATCAGAGGGTTTAATAACTCCTCTAAGCATTCTATAGTTAAGAACTTTATTCAAGAACATAAACTTTCTTTAATAGCTCTCTTGGAAACAAAAATCCCTGAAAATAAGCTCCCTGTGCTAGCAAGAAAAATTGCAAATGGCTGGCATTGGATATCTAATGTGCATGAAGCTAGAAACTGCAGAATTTGGATCCTTTGGGATAATGATTCCTTGATTATTCATAATGCCATTCTTTCAGAGCAATACATCACTTTGTCTGTAGAATCGAGAGATGGGAAATTTTCCAGTATGTGCACTTTTGTTTATGCTCTCAACCAAATGCCTAACAGGAGAATTCTCTGGAGGAAATTGCTAGAATATAAGCATAATGTTTCTGGCCCTTAGATTATTGGTGGTGACTTTAATACAATTGCAAGTTATGAAGAGAAAATTGGAGGGCTCCCTGTATCAGAAGCAGATACAGAAGATTTTCAAAGCTTCTTAAATAATGGCCAATTGATGAACTTGAATACCACAGGCTGCTTCTTCACTTGGTCAAATAAGCAAGATGCAGAAAATAGGATTTGGTCCAGACTTGACAGGTGCCTAATAAATGAAGATTGGTTGCATCTTTACACTTCCAGTCAAGTGGAATATCTCCTGCCCAAATGCTCAGATCATTCTCCTGCTTTAATTTCCATTGCTGAAAATGACAGGGAGGAGGGTATTAAACCTTTCAAATTCTTTAATATGTGGGTGAAACATCCTGATTATCTCTCAACAGTTAAAGCTGTATGGGAGCAAAATATTGAAGGTTATAAAATGTTTAAGTTCCACACAAAGCTCAGGAAGCTGAAGACTGCTCTGAAAAATCTGAATAAAAAGCATTTTATGAACATTAGTGTGCAGGTTTGCAGAGCTAAGGATGAGCTTGAGGACACTCAGAGGCAACTTAGCAATAACCCTTTCAGTTCTGTCCTGATTGCTAAAGAAAAAGAATGCATTAAGAAATATGAAAGTCTGCTGGATTGTGAATATTCCTTTTTTAAGCAAAAAGCAAACATTAACTGGTGTATTCAAGGTGACAAGGGGTCAAAATTATTCCATTCTGCCATGAAAAAGAGAAGGCATGTCAATAAAATTCTATCTCTCCAAACTGAAGAGGGGGTCAGAATCTCTGATAAACATCTGGTGATTGCTGAAATAACTGGTTATTACAAAAACCTGCTTGGTTATTCTGTACCTACTCTATCTCCTAATCCTGAGATTATTGCAAATGGTCCTCTACTCTCAACTGATCAGAAGCTAATGCTAAGTCTGCCTGTTACAAGAGAAGAGATCAAGAAGGCTATTTTTTCTATGCCTAATGATAAAAGCCCAGGACCTGATGGATATAATGCTTTTTTCTTCAAAGCCACATGGGATATTATCAGTGATGATTTATTTCTAGCTGTTGAAGAATTTTTCAACTCTAGAAGACTTCTGGGTACGTTCAATGCCACCTCTATTTCCCTTATTCCTAAGATCCTTAATCCTCTATCTGCTTCTGACTACAGACCTATATCCTGCTGTAATTGCATTTATAAAATCATCTCTAAAGTCATTGCTTCTAGGATCCAAAAAGTTATGGGTTCTCTATGGAGTGATGCCCAAAGTGCCTTCATAAAAGGTAG